AGTAATAGATGATGGACGTACAATACAAAACATCAGGGATGACATAAGGAGTTAGAAGCCTTGCATCTAATTATGCAGAGCAACATGCTAAAAATGGCAGGCAGGCAGCTGTTAGGTATCAGCAGGTAGCAGGTCTGGAGGCTGGGCTGGTTACCAAGACTCAAGCACAAGGATCAAGAACACTTTTAAACCTGTACCAACATTTCAAGTTGTTGGAAGCTGTATCACAGAGACAAAAATCTCAGTGTATTTCTCTGTCAAGCTATATGTCCATGATGGGTTGGCTGGGATCTCCACTCCATGTGGTCCTCACTCTAGGATCAGGGTGAAAGAACAGCCACCATCTGGGGAACTACTGGATGCCATGATAGGAGGGAAGAGAAGTGGGATGAATTGTACACCAGGCGTTAAACCTTCAGTCTGAAAGTGACTTACACTAGTTCTGCCCACATTCAATGGGCCAAAGTGAGTCATACGGCCAAACCTAACCTCCAAGGGACTGGGGAAATTGTATGTCTTTATGAGTTGTTTATGAAAAGATGGAAGACTACCACACAAGTTTTACTCCCGGAAAAGTAATGGGTGAATGGATATATATACATATGCAATAAATACAAATTTCAATCAACAGAAACATAATGTTGAGATAGGTTCTGAATGTGTTCCAAACCAAAATGTGTTCCTCAGCAGTGTCTTTTATCACAGTCCCCTTTTCTCTCTTTTAAAGACCATACACTTTACAAGTTCACTCTATATTCAGAAAGTACCAGACCCAACCTAAAACATCATCCTAGAATTTGCCAACTGTAAGTCAGACTATCTGCAAGGAACAGATATGTTCCTTGAATGGAAAGGAACAGGGAGACTTAGTACTTTCAGTACTTAGCTGGTGGGACTGGTGGGAAGGAGCCTAGACAGGTTTGGGGGCTGTACACAAACCAAGTGACCATATTGAAAGGGATAGTCCTAAAAGGTTTTTCTCTTCTGATTCTTCCACTGTTTAGCAGTTTCAAATATGTAGTCCTTAATTCTTAGGGCAGAGAAGTCAAGGAAATTTTAAGCCTTAGGCTCATAAAGACTTAGGCCTGGCTCTGATCACAAGAGGAAAAAATATTAAATTCAGAATGTTTCATCTCTTTATTCTCATTCTATTCTACACCCTTATATATTTTAAAATACTTTTAAAACCCCAACTCTAAAAGTAAAATAAAGCAGAATTGGGGCTGCAAAAAAACCAATCCATGGCTTCTCAGATGGCTTTTTTCTAGACCTACTGCTTCTTGTTGATTTTGGGCAGCTTTGGCTGCCCTTCCCCTAAAAGATGTAAATGATAAATATGTTTTTTAGAATCTCCAGCTATAGATCCAGAAGGGATTTTTCTGTTTGTTAAAATACTGACATGTTGATCCCTTCCCAGTCCTTACAGAAATGGGACATGAAATGGGTTGATGCCTATCAATGCCTGTGTCTCTCTGTGGTCTTTGTTCTCATCATGCATTCTGGACCTACAAAATGTCAAGCTCCACAGATTCTTCTCTGTTTATATCCTTCTTAATCTTTTCCCCCCAGCTTTTAGTATGGTTCAACATATCCTTGCTTCTTAAAACTTTCTGTTTATTTGGCTTCTATGGCAATGTGTAATCAGGTTTGTTTTCTCCTTCTCTGTCTTTATCAATGGCTTTTCTTTTCTTATCCCAATTATCTAAAAGGGTAAACATTCTTTGAGGTTATGTTCTAAGTGATCTCTTCTTTCCCTACATTTTCTCTCTGGACAACATCATCTCTCCCAAGGCTTCAAATATGACCTCTATGTAAAAGACACTGAAATTGATATCATTAATCTTGACCTCTCTCCAGAGCATGAGACACATCTACCCACCTTTGAGTATGTCATAATATACTTAGAAAAATACTAGCAAGTTCCCAGGACAAAACCCTCTGTATTGAACAAATTCCAAACTCCACTCCTTACCCTAAAATTTAATACCTCTGTGATCCTACCCCAACCGAATTTCCAATCAATTACTGTTTTATTCCACATCAAGAATCCTATACAGGGTACTCCAATGAAACAGAACTCCTCATTGTTCTCCTTAAAATTCCAATTCCCTTTTCTTACACTCTTCACCCATGTTCCCGCTAGTTCCTCTACTGAGCATGCTCAGCTCACTTCCATGCCCTTCTCATACTTTAATGGGAAGGTTTTAAAAGATGATTCACAAACTTCAAAACTAGAAAAAATGCAAATGATATGTTTGCATATCTTGATAAGGAAAGTTACAATAACTTAAAAGGAAGCTATCTGCAGTGGTCAGAAATGTATTTTACTCTGTTCACTTAAGTTCAGAACGCTGGCAAAACGTCAAGCCTGTTCATAACAAAACTTTCCCCTCCTTGACACTTATATCTCTTGCACTCTACTTGCTTTTCCAGGGAAGTAATTTTCCTTCTTCATTTTGACATTCCCTCATATGCTCACCTCCTGCTCAGCCTTTCTATACTATTTCCCAGAAAATAATCAACCTTTCTCTCTCTCTCTCTTTCTGAGGGGCTAGTAGGAGGCTGTTGCTTCTGTCCCCCTCTTCTCGTGTGAGAGTTTCTTTCCCTGCTCTCCCCTCTGCCTCCCTCTTCTCCAATCTCTTTCATCATTTGATTCTATACAGAAAACACTGTCACACGTCAGTAGCTATCTGTAGCAACAATTTTCAAAGGTCCTTTTCAAAGGTCCGGGATGTGGAAAAGGATTCACTGCAGCAATGTCTCCAAGGAAGAGAATAGAGTGATAATGCCACCTCAATTTTGTATTCTTTTGTTGATTTCCTTTTGGACCTGTCAAATGAGGTGCTGATATGAGCCCTCTCCTTTCTAGAGCTCAACAATCAAAGTGAAGATGCCACAAACACCCCCAGGATAAGGGAGATAAAGCCCAATGAGGACAAAGTAAGGAGGAAGGTACTGTAGTACTTACGGAATCCATTACTGGTTATGGCCCAACTTGGACAATGAACTGTAGCTTTATCCCTACAATGGCAGCCTCCTTTTTCTAACCTCTGGGTGATGAAAGGCTTCAAGCCCAGATTTCTGCAAAATGAGTAAACAAGGCTGACTGCACTCACATTGACTTGTTTTACACCCGTGTTTATGAGTTAGAATAGGTGTGCAACAAACCACGAATCATGGGCTCTAATTATAATATAATATTATCGTCCACACCTCCACAAAGTGGAGGACGGGGTTGATAATACATTAGGGTGTGGCAGAAAACGGGAACTGGAGAGTCAGGCAGTTCTAGATTTTTACCGTACACTTGCCACCTAAGAGCTTAATAACCTTAGACAAGTTAATTTAACATCTCTGATCTTCAGTTTCCTCATTTAGAAAAACCAGAAGTAAGAATACATATTTCATATGATATTCATGAGGTTGAAATGAGGTGACATAAATGCAAACACCTGGTGCAATGCAAGGAACATGGTGTTGCTCACAAGCTGTCTCCCCTCCTCTCTAAACTTGCCCTCTATCGCCCTCCACATTGTACCATTTCTATCACGTGTAGGGAACCAGGGTGGGTAGCCATCCTCCTCACAACGATCTGGTAAGGATTATAGAGATAACATAAGTATCCAGCACAGGGCTTGGCCCTGATCACTCGGTAAATATTTGTTCTTGTTCTCCTTCAAACTGTGAGCTAATTTTGGCCAAGATCCTCTAGGCAAATACATGATAAAGGCCTTTAGAATTTGTCTATACATCCAATTTCTTCTGTCGGAAAGCAGTATGTCATCCTGGAGGCTACTCTCATTCATCCTTCTCATCTAATACCTAATAACTGCCCCAAATTTAGAAAACTAAAAGTTGGTGATGATCCTCTAGTCACTTGCTATTCAAAGTATGTTCTGTGGAACCACAGCATCAGCATAATTTGGGAAGTTGTTAGAAATGCAAGCTCTTGGCCCCACCCCAAACCTGCTGAAATAGAATCTGCATTTTAACAGCATCCTTGAGTATATGCACATTAAAGTTTGAGATGCATCACTCTAGCCAAAACTGTAACACCTGTAAAAAATTTAAAATAAGCCAAATGCTTCTTATGTAACTGTAAAATGAAAAAGTTCATATATTAGAACTGAGTACACAAACCTACTTTCTTGCTTTAATATCTCCTTTGTAACAAGGGTGAATCCTGCTGACACTAATGAATTGTAAAAGTGTTGGTACATTTAGGAGAGGAGGTGATATGGGATGGTGGTGGTTGCTATCACAGGCTTGGCTGTCATGGAGATATGAATTTAAATCCTAGTTCCACTACTGATTAGCTGTGTGAATTGGGGCAGTTCCTCGTCTACCATATGGAATTGACAATATTACCTACAGGTCTTTGTGGAAATTAAACAAAATTATGATTATAAAGTACCTAGCATACAGTAAGCACTCAGAAAGAGCAGAGGCAGTATCTATGAAATGATGTGAAGGGAAGGGCTTCCAAATATTCAGACTTCAAAACATGGATCTAATTTAACTACTGTGTTGCTCTGCTCCACTGCTGATGTACAGAGGACCTCCATTTAGGGAGAATATGATCAGGACCTTCAGCCTTCATAGGAGAATGAAATTCTTGCACAGGGGTCTCCCCTGATTCAACAGGAGAAAGCACCTACGGTGACAACTCTGCTGTCACACGTCGTTAAAGGAGGAACTAACAACCAGCTTCTGAAAATTCACCCAAACCCTGTTAAAAGACTGAGTTATGTTATTTTCATTTATTCTTCGAAGTATTCTAAATTCTATACTTGATTTAAATTTTATCTTCAGAAAATTGTATAAGTCCTGATTATCTCACCTTCCTGCTTGTACCCCCCAATATATATGCTTAATTATTCTTTTATATCAACTCCCCCCAAGGGTTGGTGTAAGAGACAGCCACATGACTAGCATCTATTAAGTTGATCAGTGCTAAAGTTGAACCAATAAATTATTGTCTCTGCATAAAATACACATACTTCTTTTCATCAGGTAATAATAATTACGTAACTAATCATACCTACTTTTTAAAATTGGTTTGCAAAGAATGTTCTGTGTTAAGTAGTTCACAGTAGCATTATTAGCTCAGATGGTTTGTGTATTTGCTGTAAAATTCTACTGACAGACATCCAGTAGATTTGAATAAATAGAGGTACTATATTATTGGATGATAAGACTCAATACTGTAAAAAATAATAGATAATCTTCAAATTATTCTGAAAAGTTAATGATATACAACTAAGTTTCTGGGAGATATTTTTGAAAGTTCGTTTAAAAATAAAGAATGTCCAGGAAAAAAGTTTTTAAAATGATTACAGGGGTTTCTTTTTTTAAAACAATATATTATATAATGATAATACTTGAAAGAGTATGATATTAGTGTCAGAATTTGCTCAATAAAATTCAAGAAACAGATTTTAGTATATTTAAGAAATTAGTATATCAATAAGGTATAATTGCTAATTGATAGATAAGAGGATCACTCAATATCATTTATTTCCATTTAAGAAAAAAAATTATTTTTTCTCTTAAATGGAGAAAAAAATAGATCCCTACCTCACACCTTACACAAAAGTAACTCCTAGGTGGATTAAAGATTTAAATATTAAATATAAAAATATGCTGGTACTTTAAAACATAGATAATTCCTATATATAGTCTTAAGGTGTGGGAAAATGTTTTAACCATAATACCATTGGGGAAAATATAAAGAAAAATATTGACATGCTTTACTACATTAATATATAAAACTTTCTGAGAAAAAGTACAGTGAAACAGTTAAAAAGCAATTTTAAATTAAGAAAAAAATACTAAAACCCCCCCCCACATAGACAAAGGATTACTAGCCATATATAAAGTAGTTTAGAAAAAAGATGAACTACCTGATAGAAAAATGTCTAACGAATAATAGGCAATTCACAAAATATAAAATTCCTAATAAACAAATTTTAAAAGGTTCTATCTCACTAACAATGAAAGAAATATAGATAAAACAAGACCTTAAAAAAAAAAAAACCTTTTCAGACTGTCATTGAGAATTGGGGGAAGAGAAAAAAATATAAAGAATAAAATACAAAGAATTTTAATGAACTAATCCTACTACTAAAAATGCCTACTCATGAATATAGGTTCAAAAATCATAGATTAAAATACCACATTCACTCTTTTTTAGACAATTTAAATAATTTATACTTTCCTTGGACATTATCTTTTCATTAAATATTTAAAATAAAAATTGTATTATATATATTTAAGGTGTACAACATGATGATTTGATATACATATACACAGTGAAACGACTACTCCACTCAAGCTAATTAACATACCATCCCTTCCCCTAGTTACAATTTTTGTGTGTGCTGCGTGTGCCTAAAATCTACTCTTAGCAGTACTGTTCAATACAGCATTATCACATATAGCCATCATGCCTGCATATTCGATTTCTAGACTTATTTGTTTATTCATCCTACATAACTGCAAATTTAAACCCTTTGACCATCATCTCCCATTTCCCCCACCCCCAGCCCCTGGTAACTAACATGCTACTCTCTGCTTCTATGAGTTTGACTCTTTTTTTTTTTAAGATTCCACATGTACATACATAGTACTTGTCTTTTTCTGTATGGCTTCTTTCACCTAGCATAATATCCTCTAGGTTCATTTATGTTGTCACAAATGACAGTATTTCCTTCTTTCTCATGGCTGAACAATATTCCAGTGTGTGTGTGTGCATGTCCACGCACATGTGTGCATGTGTATCACATCTTCTTTATCCATTGATGGACACTAGGTTGTTTCCACATCTTGGCATGTGAATAATGCTGCAAAGAACATGTGAGTGCAGATAATTTGTGAATAATGCTGGAAAGAACCTGTGAGTGCAGATAATCTCTTCAAGAGAGTGATTTCATTTCCTTTGGATATATACCCAGCAGTGGGATTGATGGATCATATGGTAGTTCTATTTTTAATTTTTTGAGAGGCCTCCACATTGTTTCCCATGATAGCTGTACAAATTTACATTCCCACCAACAGTGTACAAGGGTTCCCTTTTTCCCACAACCTCATCAACACTTGTTAACATTTGTGTTTATGATAATAGTCATTCTAACAGGTATGAGCTAATATTTCATTGTGGTTTTGGTTTGCATTTCCCTGATGATTGTTATGTTGAACACACATGTACCTGTTGGCCATCTGTATGTCATCTTTTGAGGAATGTCTGTTCAAGTCCCTGAAGTATGTTTTTAAATGGGGTTATTTGTTTTCTTGCTATTGAGTTGTTTGAGTTTCTTATATTTTGGATATTAACCCCTTATCAGATATATGATTTGCAAATATTTTCCCATTCTATAGGTTGTCTCTTCACTCTTGATTGTTTCCTTTTCTGTGCAGAAGCTTTTTAGTTTGATGCAGTCCTTTTTGTCTATTTTGCTTTTGTTGCCTGTGCTTTTGTGGTCATATTCAAAAAAGCATTGCACAGACCAATGTCAAGAAGATTTTTCTCTATGTTTTCTCCTAATACTTTTATGGTTTCAGGTATTACATTGGAATCTTTAATTAATTTTCAATTGATTTTTAAATGTGGAGTGAGATAAGGGTTCAGTTTCATTCTTCTGTGTGTGGAAAACCAGTTTTTCCAACACAATTTATTGAAGAGATTGTCCTTTCCCCACTGTGTATTCTTGGCAATTTTGTCAAGGACCAATTGACCATAAATGCATGAATTTATTTCTGGGCTTTCTTTTTTTAAGAAAAATATTTTAATTTATTTTATTTTTGGCTGTGTTGGGTCTTCATTGCTGCACACGGGCTTTCTCTAGTTGTGGTGAGTGGGGGCTACTCTATGTTGCATTTCACGGGCTTCTCATTGTGGTGGCTTCTCTTGTGGAAGAGCATGGGCTCTAGGTGCACGGGCCTCAGTAGTTGTGGCTCGCAGGCTTGGTTACTCCGTGGCATGTGGGATCTTCCTAGACTAGGGCTCGAATCTGTGTCCCCTGCATTAGCAGGTGGATTCTTAACCACTGCGTCACCAGGGAAGCCCTATTTCTGGGCTTTCTATTCTGTTCTATTGATCAATATGTCTGTTTTTATGCCAGTGCCATGCTACTTTGGTTACTATAGCTTTGTAGTATGTTTTGAAATCAGGTAATGTGATGACTCCAATTTTGTTTTGTTTTTGCTTGTGTTGGCTCAAGATTACTTGAGCTATTTACAGTCTTTTTGGCTCTGTATGAATTGTAGGATTGTTTTATCTATTCCATGACAAATGTCATTGGAATTTTGACAGAGATTGCATTGAATATGTAGACCACTTTGGGTAAAATTTTCATTTTTATTAATACAGAATTGAAGACTATATAATTTTAATTTCCAAATTTTTATTTTATAATTATCACCCCTTTCCCATTTATATTATCTATTTATGTTTTATCAATTATTTTTCCTTAATCAGCATAGACTTGTTTGTTTATTTTATTGGCCCTTTCAAAGAATGTACTCCAGGATTATAAACTCAACCAATTTTTCACCTTTCTACTTCAATGATTTCTGTTTTATTCTTCATTAATACCTGTTCTTTTTCATGCTTCTTTGTTTGCTTTTAAAATTCTTCATTCAAATGCTTAATTCATTTATTAATCCTTCTTTAATAAAAAGCACTTAAATTTATGAATTTTCCTCTGTATGAGTTTGTAGCTGCATCTCATAAATTTTGAAATATATTAATTTCATTAATCCTGGAAGTTTTTAGTTTTTCTTTGTCAAATATTTTTTTTTAAGTAGATTGTTTAGTTTTCTTGTGGTTTGATTTTGCCTCCATTTTTTTTCTATTTAGATTTATTGCATCATTGTCATTAAGTATTCATAATATTTCAGCATTTATTTAAGCCTTCTTTGCATCCTAGGATGTAAACAACTTTTGTAACTTTCTCTTGATGTCTGAAAAATAGGTATTCTCTGTTAGTAGACTATGAAGTTCCATACATATTTAAACAAGGTTATCAGTGATAGTTTTATCTCCTTTGTACAGAAAGTCCCCTATGTATGAACAAGTTCCATTCCGAGAGTGTGTTCCCAAGTCCAATTTATTCGTAAGTCCAACAAAGTTAGCCTAGGTACCCAACTAACACAATCGGTTATATAGTACTGTATTGTAATAGATTTATAATACTTCTCACACAAATAATACATAAAAAAACAAACAGAAAAAATAAAGAAAACATTTTTAATCTTACAGTACAGTACCTTGGAAAGTACAGTACTATAGTACAACAACTGGCATACAAGGGCTGGCATCTAGTGAACAGGCAGGAAGAGTTACTGACTGGAGGAGGGAGAGGAGGTGGGAGATGGTAGAGCTGAAGGACCATCAGCAATAGGAGAAGAAAGGCAAGCTGCAATTTCACTCATGCCTGACGTTGATGGCACAGGTTCTGGTTCCTTGCTGGATTCAGTTCTATCTATAAAGATACTGTACTACTGTACAGTAAAGTACACAAAAGCACAACCACATGTAGAGGATGCACACAGGTGACAATGTATGCCAGACACGTGAACTAACTTACGTGATTGGACATGCAAACGCACATTCACATCTTTGAAAGTTCACAACTTGAAGGTTCATATGTAGGGGACTTACTGTATTTTATTTTGAAACTTATCAATCAAAGTCTCAAAAAGGTATACTGAAGCCTTCTACTATGATTGTGATTTTTTAAATGTGGAACTTCTAAGTTTACTGATTTATGTATTTTAATATTATGTTAGTGAGTGCACAAAGGTACCACTGCTACAGTTTCTCTGTGGACTGTGCATTTTATCAATGTAAAATACATGTCTTTTTCGTTGATATTTTGTCTGATATTACTATCCCTGTTTTTCCATTTTCCAGATTTTTCTTTGCCCTTCTTTTCATTTATATGTTTTCTATATCTTTCTACATTACGTATGTCTCTTAAACATCAAGTAGTTTGATTATATTTTGAGACCCAATCTGAAAATATTTGTTGTTTAATGGTGGAGTTTAACCCAGACTTGTTGTAATAACTGGTAGCATTTGGTCTAGCTTCTATCATCTTATTTTGTATTTTTTATGATGACTCCTTTACATAGCTTTAACATATTGCTCAGATTTGGGTGAAATGATCTTTAAATTTAGATTATAATAATTATTAATTTTTGATATTTGTGTTACATTTCAAAACCATATTAATAACAAATCATTTATTCACTAAAATATTAATTGAGCACCTACTATGTATCACATAGGTAGAGCAAATTCTGCACTAAACAAAACAGACAGGGACCTTGTTTCCTGGGGACTTTTCTTAGAAGGTGAAAAGAAACAATAGACAAACAAATATACAGGAAACAGTTCAGCCAGTGGTAACTGCGACATAGAGAATTAAAGAAGGGTTGTTCCATACTTCAAACTGGGAGGTTAGGCAAGGTCTCTCTAAAAGGCTGAGCTCGATTTGATGCGAAGGAGTCAGTAGTGTAAAGATCAGTAATTATTCTCCTGAGATTGGGGAGAGAAAAGCCCTAGTGCAAAGACCCTGAAGTGGGAAAGAGTTGGTGAGTTTTAAAAACTGAAAGAAGCTGGTGCATATTAAGAGAGTGAGAAAGTGATAAAAGGTGGCAGTTACCAGATAAAGTAGGACTTCATAAACCACAAGGAGTATGGATTATATTTTAAGTGTAATGCCAAGCTGTTGGTGGGTTTTAAATTGTGGGGTTTGTTTCTGTATCTGTTTTTGGTTTTGCTGTGGGGAAGAAGTAACATAATCCAATTTTCTATTGTAAAAGGTGGCTCTTCTGCTGTGCGGGAATCTATTCGAGGAGAAACAAGAGCATCAGTAGGACAGGTGATGGAGATGGAGAGAAGTCACCAGATTCAGGGCATGTTTTGGATATTGAGATCACAGGACCTGCTGATGGTTTGAATTTAGGGTGGGTGAGTGGTGAGAACAAGAGGAGAATCAAATATAATAATTAGGTTTTTATTTTTAGCAATTGGGTAGATAGTGGTGTGTGTTTACTGAAATGGAAATGCCTCTGGGAGGGACAGGTTTGATAGACAGTGGAAGAATTATGAGTTCTGTTTTGGCTACTTCAAATTTGACATTATTGAGTACCCATGGATGAGGTCCAATAGTCAGTTGGGTATGTAAGTTTAGAGTTCTGGAGAAAATTCAAAGTAGCAATAGAGACAGGGTTCATTATGTATAACTGAAGAGAGAAGGTACCTAAGCCAAAGCCCTGGGGCACTCTAACAGCAGGAGGTTATGTAATTCTATTTGCAGGATATAACATAAACTCCAAGTTTCTGGTCTGTTGGTCAATCTTTTCCACCTTTCTAGGTCTGAAACAGTTTTTTTCCTCCTAATTTACACTTCTTTGTTTATTTCAATAGGAATTTGGAAAGGAGGAGCATTAAATACTTAGGTCTAAATAATCAACTTGAACTGGAGATCAATTGTAGAACAGTTAATTCTTTAGACTCAGGAAGTCATCTGAATGATTGCTATCCATACAATAATTGTACTAAATTGAAAGTTTCTTGAAGAAAAGAGGGTTGGGTTTTTTTTTTTTTTTTTTTTTGCCTATTATCTACATAATTCAACTCTGTTGAATCTTTCAGCAGAACATCCAAGGAGAAGGAGGTCTTTAGAGCATAGTGGTCTGGTTCAACCAACTACTCGTTGAGTGACTATGAGCTACTTATCTAACTTCTTCTCTTCCTTAATAAGACAGTAATAATGGTCTAATATTACTAAAGTTTAACATACTACTAGTAAAAATAATAGGAGCAGTAATCAGCATCTTTCTTCCTTGATGTAAAGCTTGAATACAACAATGTCTGCAAAGCATTTAGCATAGTGCCTGGCATAGAATAAGAGTTAACAGATAGTGATTCTCAGAGCCCCGCCCTGGGCCCCAGCTATTCTGTCAGAGGCCCTGAGGCCCTGTGCAACAGCAGAGTTGAAAAGGAGAGGGCAGGTGATGTAGTCAAAGAGGGAGCAGGGCCCAGATTACAAGGTGTCTTGTAAGCCAGAGTCAGGAATGTGGATTTTATCCTGTATGAGAGAAGAAGTTATTAGAGATTTCTGAGAAGTGAAATAATCTGGTTTAGAGCCAGAAACAGTTTTGCTCACATTTATAGCCATAGCTTATAGATCAGTGCCCTACACAGAGTGTTTAATAAACATATATAAATATATGTAGGAATATGCAATGCTAACTGATGTCAGTTGCACTTCCGCTTATGTTTTTGACCATTTTTCATGGAAGTTCCTATGCTGCATGATTAAATGTGGTATAAATGAGGTATTCTCCCACCTCAAACCACTCCTTGAGAGTGCCTCTACTCTTCTCACTACTACTGAACAAAATATACTCCCTTGTTGGAGCTTAAAATTTCCACCAAAAGTAATACTTCCCAACAGAAATGTCCACCTTTTAGATAATTATCAGTATTTTGGCATTACCTAATTTGTTACTTAGCAAAACTTTTCCTCATTAAATTTTCCTTAATAAAAGATCTGATCATTTCTTAGTGAACATCATCCTTTGGGATAAAAAAAGGAAAAGAGAATGCCTAAGAATCCATTTGGGTGTCAACGAAGCTCACATGGGAAGTAATTATTCCATTATTCACCATACTCCTCAAGCTCTGTCTGGAAAACTGCACGCAATTTTCAGCTCTATGTTAAAAAAAATAAGATTGCTAATTTGGAAAGAATCCAAAGGCTAGTAATAATGACAAAAGGCTTGGAAAACATGCCATTAAAAAGAGTCTAAGAGAATGGAGCATGAACTGCAAAGAGATCAGATAACTGATGGGGGCAGAACAGATTTTAAAATACCATGTGGGAAAGAAATCTCCTAAAAGGAAAAAAGATTATTTTTCTCAGTCCAGACACTTATATGAGTAGTTTAAAAGGAAGGAGAATTAAATCATGAGCCATGCAAAACTAATATGTTCCATCTGAAAATGTAGCAGAAATGGGGAAAATGGTAAGATAACACTGGAGGACTCAGGATGTCTCCATGATCCTTCTAAATATCTCAGGCAATGGTTTCTGAATCCAAAGAAATCTTTTAAATCTAAATGCTGAGCAGGTGCTGCTGTACATGAATCGACACAAATGGATAGGATACCAGTCCATTGATTTAAAAAACTTTATGGTTATTCTTCCACGTCTAAATCTAGGAGAAAGGAAAAGAACAAACATAAGAATACACTGCTCTTATCCACTGAAGAGCTATAGTTTAGGGGAGGAGATAGTATGTATACAAATCCAAATAAAGAAGTTGGGCGAGGGAAGACTTACTGAATATGGAAGAAGCCAGTCTCAAGGCTCTGAATTCGAATCCTAGTTGTGGTATTGCTTTAAGATTCATCCCAGGGGTGTGATGGGACGAGGAGCAGGCTAGTTGGATTCTGCCCCAGATATATGTATATATATGAACCACTTTGCTGTACACCTGAAACTAATACAACATTGTAAATCAACTATATTTCAATAAAATTTTTTAAAAATAAGATAAAATCCTGCCCCAGTAGATACAATTAATAGAATCCACCTGTCCTATGGGTGTGTCTTCAACATCATAAAACATTTGAATGAAGAGTAAACATGTAGTCAATCACCTTGCTGTCAACCATTCAGGTGACTATGTCTCCTTTCTTCTTAGCTTTTCTGTCTTGGTGGGTAAATGTCAAGAAGCTAATGTGCACAAAGCTGATATCCAGATTCACCTGCTGAGCCTTCAGCGTCCTTCACAACCAGACCTTCAGCTTCTTTTCCAACTCTTTATTCTCCCTCCATCCCTGCCTCTAATAATTCTCCCCAAACTCTAACTGGGAATGTTCAATGTTCTCTAAACATACCCTCGTCCTCTCCTCCTTCTATGCCAGTGCCAATGGCATCTCTACCCACACATGCTCCTGTCCTCCCCAATCTCTTTGTTCATGTCCTAGTCATCTAGAAAGGCCCTGCTGAGACTCTACCGCTTCCATGAGTCACTTAATCTCACTTTCCTCTATTCTTCCCTAGTCTTGTCTTTACACCTCAAACATGGACTGTAATGTTTATTTTCATTTTCTGCCCCTAGCTTATAAATTCCCAGAGGTCAATATTATATTAAATAAGTACTATATTAATGCAATATTATATTAAATATAACGCTATATTTTATTCACTGTTATATTTTTCACATTGCGTAGCAAAGTGACTGGAACAAAGTAAGTATTCAATAAATGTTACTGGATTAAAATAAAAGTGAGATGAGATAGTCACTAATTGGGAAATAGCAACAGTGAATAAATTTGCCCAGTTAGAAGATCCTCTTAAGTCTACAGTATTATTTTCTAAAGTTCGTGCTGT